TCGTGGCTACAGCATAGCGTCAGCCGATGCTTACCGTATCTGGCTTCGGTTTCTTAAGCAGTTGGTGTGAACCAACCTGGGTCAGGAATGCTTTCAGCACTTGGTATCACTTCTTTCGAATGCCAATTGCCATGACCCAGGGCCTTTTTGGACTGGACTGGAAAGGAGTCATGCTCCACCCGGAACCAGGCGGCGCTTCGGATCCCTTGCGATCGATCCTTCTTCAACGTATCGATCTAACACGAAGGAGTTTGCAAAAAGATAGATAAAATATATAGAAGATATTGGAGTTTAAAGTGTTTTCTTCAAGGTAAAACTGTAAAACGAAGAGACACAAAAGGATTCATGCTAGGACTCAGGGTATCCACATTTTGGAGGGCTCTGACATCATGTCCTCGTGCCTCAGAGGACGCGGCGCTAAGCAAACCGCTGAGTGACATCATCTGAAACCTCGCAGCGGTCGTGGGCTGTCGTGGGCTGTCGATGCGAAACCCAATCTTCAACCGTGATGGTTTCGCCCTAACAGCGATTGCCCTGACCGCTCCGTTCGTAGCGATGCCCTTTGCTCCTAGCTCCTAGTAGCGATGCCCTTCTGCTCCGTTTGTAGCGATTGCCTTACTTCTGCTCACAACAGGTTGGTTCGAAAGATGTTGGTCCGCTTTTCCAAGTCACGGCTGAGCTGGCTCCATCTCCGGCGTGTGTGGCAGGTTGCGGATCGAACCCGTGTCCACTGTGCTGCAGTCAGACTCCTGTGCCAAGTGAGTGCACTGAAGTACAGCTGCTTGGGAGTCACCAGTGGAAGCGTACCCCATCAGCTTGAAAGTAAAACCAAGTTTTCTTGGTGCGAAAAAACAGCTGCAATCTTTTCGGAGAATTGTAGGTCGCCAGATGCAACACCCCGAATGGTGCCCTTCAGATCTCCTCAGCTTCCTGGCTATGCTGCTCAGATGCCTGGCAAGTGGACAGCTTTGAAGCAGGGAATGCTGGTTGTCCCCATCCACTAGTAGCTTCTTGTTCCTAGTAATGCAAGGAGCTACTAGTAGCTAAATGACAGTCTGGGGCCCTTTTCCGACCTTTCTCTCTGTTTCATTGTTGGAAGCGTGTAAGCAGCAAACCAGTGCATTCAAATCTTGCCCCATGAGTTAGAACCCTTAAACCCATCTAAACCCTATAACCCGTGCTTTCAGTTTACAGCCTTAAGGATCTCAAGGATTGATCAATGCCCACCCGAGTGTCCTTCACCCTCGTGGCTTGTGCATCCATCGTTATGACGAACGGATATTGTGAAACACCGTGAGGGTACAAGAGAAGTACCGCCTACACCCTGGCCAAACAAGGAGCCCAAGGGTATGAGGCCAGGTATAAACGGTATAGGTATATAAGTCACATAAGAAAGGAAAGGACATGAATAGAAAGTAAAACCCAAAGGTTTACAGCAAAAACACATACTACGCACAAAGGACGCTACTAGGAGCAAAGGGCATCGCTACTAGTAACAAGGGCCTTACTACTAGGAACAAGAAGCTAATAGAAACAAGAATTAGACTTTAATTAGAAGCAAAGTAGGATCCTACTAGTAAAACCAACTAGTAATTTAATTAGACTTTAATTAGACTATTAAACCAACTAGTAAAACCAACTTCCCGGGGTCTCACGCCATGAGACGACTTCTCTGAGGATCGATGCCGGATTGACGTGGAGCGGGCAATGCACTTGAGTCGGTTCAAACGGTCAAAGGCAAACGCTTAGACCTCATTCAAAGGCCTTAGCCTCGCAAAACCACCACTTGTTCTGGTAGTACCGTAGTTACTTGGCTGGTAAGCCAGGAAAAGAACCATGAAAGGGAGAGTGGAGAGAGAATCCACGCAATCGTTAACAGGTGAGGGCATATCTTGATTCTAGTCGACAACTTCTCGACATCCGGTCAGCCACCTGAGGATCCTTAGTCGTCTTCCTAGCTGATCCTTTTTTCAGTCTATCATTCTTTTTTCTTCAGCCCGCCCTTACTTGATTCAGTAGGCACCTAGTCAATTAAGGGCTAAACAAACTAACTAGCTAACTAGGTATCCTGCTACTAGCGAACGGACGCAAGGAAGCTCCTTATGCCTGAGGGGAGGAGCTTCCTGGAAGAGGCGCTCGCACTATTCAATCGGTTCCTATTCATTCACTCAGACTCATTCATTCATTTCTTGTTAAACAGGTTCTTCTTTCTCTTTGTCTCTTCTTTCTCTCTTGCCTGTGGTGCCGCCGTTGACTTCTCGTGGGTGTCATGCGCGCTCCTGATGCACATCTCGGCCCGAAGCAACTTCCCAAAGAAGCGAAGGTGGATCAAAAGTCCTGGTTACCGGGTGCTTCCTCTACCAAACGGCAGGTTGGTTTTGTGCCCTTTTTCAAGGGGTTGTGGTGAGGGTAGCTAAGGAGCATCCTACCATCCTGTGAGGCATGCAGGTAGTTACTGCGTGGAAACATCAGGGTGCTGCTGGCACATTTCATCGGAAAGACCCCTTATTACATAACTATATCACCCCCTCACCCCCTCCTCCCCCCAACTCATCATTCGTGTCACGAACTCTGTGTGTCTGCATATGCACCACCCAGCACCAAGATCCGTCGTCAACCCGACCGCCCGTTGCGAGATCGCGCTCGGTTTTCGTTTCCCAAGTTCCCGGACTCTGACACCGCTTTGGGAGGTAGATGCGGAACGCCCTGGCAACTGGTGACGGTCAAGCCCGACATGTGACGATATATACCCCAAGGGCACTGGTAAAGATTGCTTGGGTGGGTGTTACTTGGTGGGCAGCCATGTGCGCTGGGCCCTGTTTCAGGGCCGACGCAGACCAGCATGTCGTATTGTGCAATGAGGGTCAGACCGAAACAAAATGAGGGTCGACCAAGCTCAGAAGTTCCTTGGTTTGGAGGTGAAACTTGGAAGTTCTCCGCACCCTCGGCCCCCCAAGGAAGAAGGAACAAGAAGGAGTAATGGTCGAGATCTCAAGGACGGAAGAGAAAAGGCCAGAAAACCACCTCCCCCAAGTGTCTCTCACTTCCATGCCTCAATTCCGCTACCAGGCTCTGAAACTCGACTGACTGGGCAGGAGAATGCCTGGCTTCAGAACGCGACTGTTGGGCGGTTTCAGGCGTTCATTCTATGTTAGGTGGCGCCCAAAACCTATGACATGACGTTTGGGGCCAAGGCCCTTATGCAGGACACAGCCTGGAGTGCTTGAGGGTTCCCCGCGTGTGCCCGCCTGCCGCTCATGAAGGAAGCCTTCCAGTGAATCCAGGTGCTCTACAGGATGATCGATGAAGGTATTTCGCACCAGCAACGGGCCAGGATAGAGATACCTCGACAGCGTTTTCATGTGGAGGAAGATAGACGTTTATTATCTTTTATTCCTTTGCTTCCTTCATTCTTGCTCTGCAACCGTTTGTTTCCTTTCGCTTCTTTGACCCTCTTTGGCGACGGTCCACCACGTGTCCAGGGCCGACACCAAATGGACGTGAAAGAACCTCGGGCCCCGAACGAGGGCTGCCATGGGGCTGAGCTTGTGGATGCCATCAGCCTGGCGACACACGGGTTTGGTCAAAACATGCGAGTATCCATTTCGTTCCATCTTGGTAAAACATTTGCAACCTTTCACTGTGTCCACCTGGTGAGTGAAGCAAGTTTACATGCATTTTGAACATCGCGAATGCCGGTTCTCAGAATCTTGGAAGCTCCGAAGAGCGCGGAGTCGTGACCAAGACATAACAAATGGTTTTTGGGGAACTCCCGATTGAGATGGCATCCGACGTCCACCTCGATGACTATCTAAGGTCGCGCATGTAAAACTTTGTGAAAACACATGGGCATGCAGTGCAGCACAAGTCCCATGCCTCGCTTGTACCGCTTGACGCCGTCTCCCCCGTGTCGGCGCTGTGGCACACAAGCCGTCTAATCTCGAGCCAAGTTCGGCAAATCACCAAACCGAATCCTTCCCGCCCTCTGAGGAAAGTACGCCATAGTAAACCTAGCATTCTGCACATCATAACAGTGCTCAGAACTTGTTAAGTCTCAGTTGCTGTTTCCGAGCATGATGCAATCTATTCAAGACACATCTCATCTCAGCTTGGATGACCTTCCACCACCTGCGCCCCCTCCCCAAGGCTCTGTTTTGATTCCGCGGAAAGAAGAAGGACATCCACCTGCGCGAGGGAAAGCATGCAAAAAATGCAAAGAATTCTGTGCAACGGCCGATTCATCAAAACCGTTTGATTCCAAGAACTGAGTAGCCGATGCCGATTCAATGTGTTTTGCGTTTGAAGGAATGACTGCATCAAAGACCTGAAGGGATAAACAACGATTCCCAAGATGAGGACCTTGGGAGCCCTGCTAAGATGACCGAGAGAAACGCTCTCGTCCAAGAAGCTCGTTTCTCCCATTGGTTGAAGATATCTCCAAACACGGATCTAGAAGAAAGGAATGACATATTAGAGACGTTCTCGTTTGAAAAACCGATCTTCGCACTATGAAATGCGTCCTTCACTCATCTTCTCCCACTAGCACTGGGGTAGCAAGTGCTTGCGCAGCGCCACCTGCGTCCGTCGCTGGGCGCCGACTTGGGTCGCCCACCGAGGTCCTGACACAAAGAGCTTAGGGCGGAAGAGTGAGACAGGAACAAACATGTCTTCCGTCTGAAAAGTGAGCCGCTACGAACGGAGCAAAGGGCATCGCTACTGCTAGGGGCTCCTGGCCTTACTACTGGGAGCAAAGCTCTTTTGAGGTTTGATCGAAAAGAAGTGCCTCGAAAGGTCACATGTCTTCACGATGAAGCTGGTCGGACCCTTCGCATCCTCGGACACCGCCTCAAAGGCGACGGCGCTGTACATCGAAACCACCGCGGTTTCCGATCTCAAATCCGAACGGCCATGAAAAAGAAAAACCTCTGATGTTATCTCATCTTCACATTTTGATGTTGCATCACCACACGATCTGACTTCTTCGAGGGCTTGATTTCCAAGACTGCTTGATGCATCAAAACACCTAAGGCTAGTGAAGCTCAAGATTGGCAACAAGGTAGAGTACAAGATAGTACAAGGCAGTCTTTCTCCCTCTAGGCCTTCAGGGAAGTTCATCTGTACACAACTGTACAAGCAGCTTCCAAAGCACTTGATAGCTTCTGAAGCACTTGCTGTGACCTACGGTGCAGCACCTAAGCACCTGCACGTGCCTGGTCTGCCATAAATGCCCTAGGCCCTATAATGCCCTTCTTGCTTCTTGCTCACGCACTTCGTCGTTTGACCCCTCTTGAAGGGTCGCACTTCTGAGATGCTTCTGATGTCATCAACATCGCCTTGCGCTTCTTGTCATTGTCATCCTCCTCACCCTCAGCTGCATCAGCCCGGAAACTTCTGGCGTCAGCCTCCTTGATTGCACGCTCCACTGGCTCTTTGAGGAGTTGCAAGGCCTTCTCAAGTTCCTCTTGTGGGAAGCGTGCTCGCAAGGTGCCTTCAACATGACCGGTCTCAGAAGCTGTGTACTTGCCTTCCGTTTTCACGTCCAGCCAAAACCTGAACTTGAGCTTCTTCTCAGCTCGAAGCACCGGGCACAGCCGTTGACAGAGCTGGGCTCGCAAGGACTTCACTGATGCACCTCCCCTGCCCAAGAAGGCTTGGATCACTTCCTTGCGAAGCAGGCTGCCAAGCTGGGCAGTTGCGCTGTTCATCACAGGAAGCTTTTGAACACACTGCTTTGATGGAACTTCAGGAGGCTCAAGTGACATCTCCACCGGCTCTGCTGGAAACTGCTCCTTGTGCCCAGGTTCCAGGAAGAGCTCGGCCACCTCACTCTGGTCATAGACCACCCGGAGCTTCTCCAGCAGCGGCTTACGAAGCGCAGCGCACAACACGGCCACCGGATCCCGCTTCTCCTGCCACGGCAGTGAGGCAAAACCCGATGTCCGCGGGGTCAATGAGTCAAACACCTGTCACCAGTTCGCTTGTAGGATGGAGGCCATCGCTAGAAACAAAGAAACCTAGAAAAGGAAGAATGGTGGTCTACGATAGTTTGCTATTTGGGTTTTTTTTAGGCCTCTCTCTTCACCCACTCTCTTCTCCTTGGGTTTCGCATCCGCCGCCGCAGCTTTGAGCTCCGTGTCCGGGTCCATGAGGTCTCGGAGCATCTGCGGTGAGAAGCCCGACATGAGGACGACGCCCGCATCGTTGGCCAAGGCAGGAGCTCCTGGGCCGCCGGGCAAGGCTCTGGCGGCCAAGTTCCAGAACACCAGCTCTGGCAACCTGGCGACTCGAGCCAAAGAGCGAAAAGACCAAGGAACTATGCATATGAATATTCTCAAAATATTCAAAATACCATCCAATCATTCAAAAAAAACAATCTGTTCTTGGCCTGATTGAGATAAAAATAACCAAGTTCCATGCTAAGCCTAAGCAACTCCAAGCCCAACTTCTGGTACTCCTTCTGTGCCCTCCGTAGCGTTGTCTCGCCCTCATCGCCACCTTGGGCCTGGGCAAAGTGCATGTCGGAGAAAACGAAGACTTGCTCAGGAGCAGCAGCTTGCGCAGCTCGAGACTTCAAGAGATCGAAGACTTTGTGAAAGTTGGTGGACATGCCCCAGTCCAAACTTTTCATAAACTGGTAGAGCTCCAGCAGGTCATGGGTCTCGGGAAGTTTCACTAATTGAGGTGACTCATGGAAAGTAATCACATGCCGGGCAAATGGGCCATCAGCAACTTCCGCCAAGAGGAGCGACAACGAAATGGCCACATCCATACACGACACGTTTGGGGCTGCGGGTGTGCGCATCGACCCCGACACATCGCAAACCGCAATGCAATGGGACAAAGCGCCTGCGGCGCGGAGCTGTGCCACAAGAGATTGCCATTGGGCCTGCGCCAGGACGCGTTCAAAGCCAGAGCTGGCCACTGCGCGCATCAGCAACTGATGGGGTTGTAAAGCTCCCACATTCACTTTGCCTTTCTGCTGGGCTAAGTTTTCCACAAATTCTTGGAAGCGAAGTGGATCGTGCTTCTCGAAGACCTTGGCGTTTATGCTGAGGCAAGAGCCGTGGACCTTCTGATATTGGATTTCTTCCCAGCGCTGCTGGCCTTGGCTTGCTACTTTCTATTGTTCTTGGAGGGGCCTAGAAAAATCTACTAGTCATTGGAATAGATCACCCCAGGCAAAGGTCTTACAAGCAAATTTCTCGGAACCCACCCACTAAATTTGGGTGAAACGCACACCGCACACAACAAATAAATGTATCAGCTGGAGCCATCCAAGTGACACATGAGGCGTTCAGTGCACTTCATGTACTCCTTCAGCTGGCTGAGTGACTTCCGCAGTCGGTCTCGCGCGCGGAAGGCGTACTGCCGCTCCGTGAGCTTTGCGAAGTCCGGGAAGTCATGAACTGGGAAAAGCCACCGGGCAATAGATTCCGAGATCAGCGTCCTGAAACCAACGAAAGCAAAATCAAAAGACAAGTCCACAGTCCACACCATTTCAGTTTCTTTTTCTCCCAAATTGGATTCAACATGATTCAATTGGCCAAATCATTCACCAAACGACGAATCACCGGCTTCAAACGAAGCAACCTTTGACACTTGTCCTGCGATCAAAGGAGTGGTAAAGCAAAGGGCACCACTTCGCACATAGACTGATGCGTTGTCCCTTCTGCATCCGACCTTGTCCGGAACATGCTCGGCCACCCCGGAAACCCTACTGTGCCCCCTTGTCAACTGCCGGGATAGGTTCGCCAAGAGTGACAAACAGCGCAGCATGAAAACAGAAAGCCAATGACACAACTAGGAACAAGAAGCTACGTTCGTAACAAGAGCATAACCTATTAGTAACAAGAAGCTACGAACCTAGCTCCTGGCATTAAGTGCTTCTAGCAAGCTAATAGAGTGCTCGGGTCGCTCGTTTTGAGTCACGGGAGAAGTGCTGGTGTGGCTCCAAGAGTCGAAGCGAAGGAGCTTTCCAATCGGCCCTGCCGCCCTGCCTCTTGTTACTAGGAACAGGTGCATCGCTACGTTCGTAACAAGTGCCTTACTATTAGTAACAATGTTCGCTATTAGAAATAGTAATTAAAATCGAAATACGTTTGATTAGAATTCATTCCGGACTCTTTTAGCCTACTAGCTTCTTTGTTCCTAGTAAGGCACTTGTTACGAACGTAGCGATGCACTTGTTCCTAGTAGCGAACATGGTTTCTATGTTAAGGAAAGACGTTTGCTCCTAGCTACTGAGACGCTACTGAGACGCTACTGAGACGCTACATGCGGGAAGTGGAAGCTCAGTAAGCTCAAGGAAGCCAACTTCCGGGCCGCGGGCGGGGAGGAATCTTCCTTGAAGAACCGTGACTTTCAAAGCGAAAGGAGCGAAGGACGAAGGAAGTCGGTTTGGGAAGAGGCCGAAGTCGCTTCACTTCTATTTGCATCACCGGTTTGGAGCCCATCGCTTCCTATTTGCACGATGCAAAAGCGAAACGAACACCCTCGTCCGTCCCCCCCGATTCCGATGTCCGAGTCACGGAGATCTTCTCTCAATTGCTCCGCGAAGAGCTGTCCGGTTCGTTCGAAGAGCACGCGATACAAGGGATCCTGGCCATAGCGCTTCAATGCCTCTGCCGCCAACTCGAGACGTGATCCGGGACACCAAGGGCCCTGATCTGAGCCATCCACCTGAAGAAGACGAAATGATGTTCAATCACCGTTCCTTTCTCTTTTTCCTTTCTTCCGTTTCTTCTTCAATTTCTTTCTGTCTCCAATTCGGCAAGGACAAGACAACACTCACACTCATTGGATAATTCTCTGGCTCTGCGCAGGGCCAAGCAAAGATGTCTTTCCACAACCCCTCACTATCAACAAGCCTTCAATTTCCTACTTCAGTACTCCTGAGTTACTATTTCGCAGGGAAAAGGAGCTCGTTGGGAAAAAAGGGAGCAAGCCAAAAAGGACCAGCCTCGGCATCTCCACAGGTGAATTTCTTCTTTTCGTCCTCGTTGGAGTCCTTGTGGCGCATGTAGTGGCCATAGAGCGCCACGTCACGTTCCAGGCTGCGACGAGGCCCTTCGCAGAGTCGGGCCAAGAGCTCCAACAAGGCCTCCAAAGCCGGGCGAAGCAATGCCAATCTTCTCGACGATAAGAAACGAGAACATCTTCGTGTTCTTCCTTTTTTGGCCCGCTCCTACTCAATCAAGTAAGGGAGAAGTTCGCTCCGGTCCTACTTGTTCGCTACTACATATGGACGCAGGACAGCGCTTGCACTCATTTGGTTCCTAGATTTTTAGGGAAACTGAACGAGGCGTGAAAGCAAGAGAGTCTTCTTTAAGAACTCCAACAAGCCAACCTTGGAAGACTCTTCCTCTCACGGGGCGCCTTCCAATAGTTGCACTCAGGGATGTGATGCAGGTTGGCCAAAAGAGTTGCCGGATCCTTCTGCCAAAGCCATAGCATAGCATCATAGAAGGCATACCTGTCCTGTTTCCCTTCCCTGCTAGCTCCAAGCAAATAAATCTGCTTGAGACACACCTCTGGATTCTCATCCCAGGCTTTCGCAAGCAAATTCTCTAGTTGAATGCTTTTGCTTGGTTTCTCCTGTGGCACTGAGTGGAAGAAGAGATCCACGTTGGCAGAGCCGCTGTCAACGAACATCTTGCCACCCACCTCGGTGTTCATCAAGGGCCGTTCCGCCTGAACAAAGGACAGGATCTCTTGTGCCAAGTCTCTGCGACCCAGCAGCTTTCGATCACTCAGCATTCGGCCACCCAGCTTCCGATCCAAACACCTCAATTTCATGCGCAAGGCTTCCTCCATGGCCAGGCCTTCCGGCACAGGACTTGACTGGGCCGCCTCCGCGGCCGCCTCGGCCGTGATGCGGCGACTGCGTGGCAAAGCCCTCAGCTCGCTGGGACCACAAAGACCCAAAGAGTTGCTGTCCGAAGTCGTTTCCTCTTCCGTGGTCACTGGACATCGCATCTTGGGGTCCAGGTCCCGGTGGCTGGGAGGAGCTCTCTTCCGGCAAACTTTGGGCGCCATGGCTGAAATGGTCAAGGGAAAATGGTGAGCAAAAAGGGGGCTGCAGGCCGTTTCGAACGTCGTCAACCTGACGAATGATTCAAGAAAAGGAGAAGTGATGCAAAAATGAGAACCTCTGGAAAGTTTGGAACATGTGAAACAACACTTTTGAAGCTACCCTCATGGCAGGCTCAAAACCAGGGCTTTCCTAGGGCTTCCTGCATGGCGTCCACGCTTCGACTGGGATGAGTGTGGCTCAACCTGCACCGGGCACAGCTGCGGAAGTGAAAAGCGAAGCAAACGAACACATCGTGCTGATCCTCGAGTGACAACCACAAGCTGCCAAAACATGTCAGTGCTTCACACGCTAAAACCATCCACGGAAGCAACCAAAAGCATTTAAAAACATTTGGTAGGTGGAAGTCACCGGCCAGCACCTACTAGGTAAAATCTACAATACATGAATGCTTTCAAATACATCTAGAAGCAAGAACGCTACTAGTAGCTCCTGGCATTACTACTAGGAACAAGAAGCTAGTCACAAAGGGCATCGCCACTAGTAACAAGGGTGTTACGCCTGTAAATACGTTGAGTCTGATCGATCCTTTGGGAGTGAACGCTTGTTTGGCCACACTCAGGACACCATAAAACACCATAGGGAAGCATAGGGAACAGGGGGACTTGCACAAACTTGAGTTTGAGCCACTTCTGTTCAACATCCATGCAACATGTGGAACAAGTCTGGGAAACATCAACTTGTTTCAAGCTTAACTAGCAACAAGGGCATTACTACTAGTAGGTTGGAGGCCATTACGACTAGTAGCTAGAAGCTATTAGGTTGGAGGCCATCGCTACTAGTAGCTTCAAGCTTAACTTCCCTGTTCAACGCGCCTTTGCTCAGTGCTTCGGCCGTCGGCCAACACCAGGGAGCTCTCAGGGTTCGACAACTGCAAAGGTGAGCTTCAGTCGGTGGTTTTGGGTGAAACTGTGAAACCCCCAGTTCCCATCTGATTGCACCAGAAAACAGTTGTTGAAAACTAATGGAACATGATTTCGCCACTTCACCAAACATACCCTTCAAGCCTTTTTGATAGCCAACACCGGTGCGATTTTCTGCCGAACCAAATCGGAGATGGTCGAGTTCCACGAACCAAGTTGATCCGAAATTAGAAACCATCGTTACGTAGTTGTACCCCAAAAATTGTCAATTGTTTTCATGAGGACGTTTTCATACATGTTCTCCATGCGTTCAGATTTGCCAACCTCCTTGGACTTGATGAGACCGAAGATGCCTGGAGCTTTAAGCAAGCAACACTGAGGCTTCTCGGATATTTTCTAACCAACTTCCATGATCCTTTTTGTCCGTCGAAGCCACGATGAGCTTTCAAACATAGAATATAGACTCGGGACCAAGTGGCACACCATTGGACTGAACCATTCTCTGGTGTCATTATGATGTTATTGCGTTGTTTCAATCATAAGGTGATGATATTACATTGTTTGGGTCTGTCCTAGTACCAGTAACCATAAATGATGATGGTTAGTAAAGGCCTTGTTCAACATAGTGATAACTGTTTACTGACTGTTACAAGTATATAGTAGGACAAACCCAATAAGTTGCCATTATTTATCTGGTTGGTGCTGTGCCAAGCCACTTATTCGAGGGGCGAAGCAGTCACTGTTTTCACGCTGGTGCCCACATTGATATTAGTTAAATGTTCAAGAGATGTCTTTCCAAAGGCTCTGCCTTCACCTTCCTCCATGCTGCCATTGCCCACGTAGCCACCAATGAAATGCCCAGCACTAGGACCACTAGGAAATACCATCCTTCACTGTCCGACGTCGCTGTCGCCAGGGTCGTCGTTGCCAAAGGTGCATGGGAACTCACTGAGTTGAAGAAATCGAGTTCATGCATCATGGCAGCTCTGAAGGTTTTCATGGACTGCTGAACAGGGTAGGATGTAATGTCAATTTGATGCACAATCGGAGATTTGCCGCCCAACCCTGCGATCCAAGTCTTGTAAGCATTCTTGCTTAGCCCCTTGCAGCTGCTCATCTTCCAGCCCAGCCATTCCCACAGAACAGTGCAGGGAGCAAAAGCAATCACTGACTGTTCCAAAGGTTCGTTCCGAGCAACGTCTCCCAAAAAATCCACATAAGCCTGGCAGGAATTGCTGCAAGTCACGTTTTGCAGGTGCCAACCACTGCCTTCCTCAGCCAAGTAAGGGACATACTGTGCAGCTGACGAAAGTAGATGGTCAAATTGCCATTGGTCCCTTGTTCTTTGAGGGACCTGTCTTGGAGGCCATGCAGCAAGTTGATGACCCCTGGCATGAAACAACCTATGTCTTGCACCATGTACTGGCTGAACTCCAGGACATCCAGTCCCCACTGCACGCCTCTGAAATGAAAGGGGATAACCAAATCTTCCTGTGAATGTCTGAAGCGCCATCCCATAGCACTTCTCCAGTCAGCACTTTTGCACATGTCGAACTAGGCAAAAGAAAAGACAGCAACAAAAGCAGACCCTTCATGGCGGTGTCAAATTGGTGTCTTGAGCCGGCTACGAATGCACCAACCCATCTGAAAAATAGGAGACAATTGACATCAGTCAGCTTCAAAACCACCGGTCAGCTTCATGATGAAGCACTAAAATTATGGACGATCAAGTTCGGGAGCTGGTGGGAGCAGGTAGATCTGCTGGGAGCTGCTGGGACCTGGTGGGAGCTGAGGGCACCTCTTTGAGTTGATCCGCCTCCACACTCCCGGCCTGGAATCTGGATCTTGTCGATGTACACACGTACCGTCACGTACCTATCGGTGCCGGCAACGGCCTGGGGGTTGTGGGTGATCACGTTCCATCAGTTTCTTCTCTTCAGAACAAGTCGGGGTCCCGCTACTATAGTAGCAAGGACGCTGCTGGGGGCTCCTGGCCTTACTAACAAGAAGCTACCACAGTAGGAGCAAAGGGCATCGCTACTCGGCTTGGTTCGATCCCGGGATCCCCATCTTCCACGTCACACCACACCCCCCTCACCATCGACGTCAAGGAAACAAGAGACCAACGGCACCACTGGGGCTGCACAGTTTTACTTCTGAAGAGACCTAGACGCTTTCTGCGTGCCCAAAGGAACAAACGGCAACAAAAAAACATATATATAGTAAACAGGATTGGGCAGACCCTGCAAGCATCACGGCTAGACCCCGCCTGTAGATCAAAGAAGTGGCCACGACCCAAGCGGAACGAAACCAAAGTTCGACAAGAACCGGGTTGAAAAGCCGTGTTCCCAAAGGCAAAACCTTTAAGCAAAAGCACGACTTCCCAACCAATCCATCCAAGTGGCGCCACAGCCGTGCCATACAGCCGGGGCCTAGGTCTCCCAAAAACGACGCAGTGGCCGGTGATTCGGTGACCGAGTTCACGGAGCTTCGTCCGTGGCGTCTTTTCATGCGACAAGTGAAACGCGGTGAAACGACGTGAGTTGTCCACGCGAAGCTATGCGAAACTAAGCTACATGGAAGCTGCAGTGCGAATTATGTTACTATACTTTAATGCGGCAGTGCGCCATGTGTTGCGCGGCGAACTGCTCCTCAAGTGACTTCAATGCCCGCAGAGCTTGGTCTCCGAGGTGGTTGCCATCGAAATTGAGCTCCACATGGTTCAAATTCACGAGCTTTCCGAGACTCTCGGCCACTGCGGTGGCTCCTTGGTTTCGGAGGTTGTTTCTGCGGAAATCGAGCTCCACATGGTTCAAATTCACGAGCTGTCCGAGACTCTCGGCCACTGCGGTGGCTCCTGGGTCTCCGAGGCGGTTGC